GAGCATTGAAGAAAGAAGCATCTATCTACAAAGGACACTTTGTACATTTAATTCTGAATTAGGTTTTTAGGGATAAAAACTAAATTTAAGGGATCTAAAGCTGGCAAAAGAGTCATCTCAGAAGGTGAAGCAACCGACATCCCAAAGGCAAATAAAAGCCCAAATCTCCATTTTTTGTAATATTATAGCTGCCTCTGCAGATAATTGCTGAAAACTGGCTGCACCATTTATTCCCATTTTAAAGTGAGAAATATAGGAAAGAATTTAAGTTTAACTTCTAATGTTGGTTTAACTAACTTTACCCAGCTCTCCCAAAAATGAAAACATGAAAAAAAAAATAAGAGAGAGAAAGAGAGAAAAGAGAGCCTTGGCCACATTCCTTACAGAGGGGCTTACTATTATTTGAGGGAAATAAGATTGTAGTAGGTGGGACAGTTAGACCTGCTCTGCTGCATGATTTTGTTAACTTTGGCTTTTTTTTACCAGCTTCAAAGTCTAAAAGAAAGTTCTTCTTTACAATTTTGACAGGGCAGCGCTTACACCTGGAAAATCCTACAGATGTATTGGATGTGCTGGGTGGGAGTTTTAGAAATTGTGCTCTGAACATATTTAATTTGATAGTGAAGCTCTAAGAACATGTAAGCTAAATTACATGACTGAAGCTAATTCATATGTTGATTAAACACTNATAATTTTCCTATATGAGATTTACAAAGTTAAAGCTTTGAAGGATTTTGCGAGAAGAGAAAAATAATAAACTTCAGAACATTATTTGAAGGGACTAAATATTTTATTTATTTAATTGTGTCCTGCCTTTATCATTTTTACAAGATGGTGAACATATCCAACACACCTTCCCCCTCCTAATTTTTCCAACAATAAGGTTCCTGGGAAGTAGTTGGGCTGAGAGGGAGTAACTCGCCCAATGTCACCCACTTGGTTTTCATGGCTAAGATGGGACTTGAGCTCACAGGTCTCTTGCTTTCTAGCCTGGTGCTTTAACCACTAGAGCAAAAAAAGACCAAGATTGTTAAAAGTAAAAGAAAGCAATATAAAGTTGTTTTATTTGATCAAGGTTAAATAGATATGTTGCTACCTGTAATAACCCTTAATGCATTTTTGCTGATCAGGATTGAAACAATGAAGACTTTGTTTATAGATAACACATGTGATCTGGGAAGAAAAGGTCATTTGTTGTATTTTAAAAGAAAGTGATAAATTATTAAGATAATTTATACTTGTGATGATATAAAAAGATCCTTTTTATATATTTTTCTTTTTCTTTATGATATTTTTCTTTTTCTTTCCTTTCTTTTTATTTTCTGCACCATTTTTTCTTTTTACTCTCTTATTTTTTGCATTTGCATACGTTTTTATCTTTTTAATTGTAATGATGTATGTATGTGTGTGTGTTTATGAAGACACAGAGAGAGAACCAGAGCTTTAGACTTGGATTCCAGTGTTTTTACTCATGGCCTCAATTTGGTCTATCTAATTCTTATTATCCTGGTCTTCCAAGGCCTATCAAACAAGTTAAAATTCAGGCAGTCCTCAGTTAATGAACAATTTGTTCAGCAACTGAAGACACAATGGACTTGAACAAGGAGATTTATGACTGCTCCTCAAAACTGTGGCTGTCACAATGTTGTGATTCGGGGATTTGGCAACCACTCACAATTACAATGGCTGCAGTGTCTTTGATTGCTATTTGCAACCTAAGATGTGGGCTTTCAACAAGCAGAGTCAATGCGGGAATCAGCAGGGGCTGACCAATGGCAATTATGTGACATGGCACCTAATGGCCCCATGAAATTCACCAAACAACTGCATTTGGAAATTTCAGAACTTGCCGTAAAGTAAATTGCTTCACGACTGCATCCCAGAGCAACAGTTTCTGGTCCAAATTACCATTGTTAATTGAGGCCCACCTACTTGTGCTTTTAATAAAGATTCAGGAGCCAATTATGTAAGAAAGTCAGCTGCAAGCTTCTTCAGTATCGATGAGAAGATCCACTCCATGGATCACAGGATGGCTCTCTCATGTATATGATGAAATAGTACAGTTCCTGGAGTTCCTGCAACCCCACCCCTTTCTTCTCAATAAATCTTGTTAATGAGAACACTGTGAGGATCACCCTTGGAAAGATTTACGTTGGGTTTTAAGCAGTTGCCGAAGAGCCTGACAGATATGATCTTAATATACAACGTGATAAAAACTAGGATTACCATATGCCCATATTTTCTCAGAAACAGAAGTTGCAGGGAAGAAGTATTCCCAATGTTAATACCTGAATTCTAATCCCTGATGTTCTGAAATGGGGCAGCAGAGATGGTATGCAGTGATTGATGGTAATGATGTATGACCTTCAGGGAAGGAGGTACACACTGCTTTCTGAGCAGTTTTAGGATAGAACAGTATCTTTGCTGCCTCCTGATTGATGCACAAAACTGCAGGAAATTGATCAGCAAGGAAAAAGTGCTGCTCCCCATGAACTGCTAGAAGATGCCATTCAGGGTTTGGGGTGGTTTAAGGCTGCTGTTTGGTGTTTGTGTGCGTGTGTGTGTGTGCGTGTACGTGTGAGTTTGTGTTTACCAGATGAGAATGAACAAGAAAAAGCTTATTCAAATGCTAGTTTATGTTTGCAAGACATGTGATTTCACATTACAAACATTTATTCTAATGGTTCAGACTTCTGTTCTCAGACCGCAAGCCCTAGTTCAGTTTGTGAAAACTTGTGATTTTATAATATAAACTCTGGCAAAGATTTTTGAATGACAAATACTGGCTTAGTCCCACTTGGGAGAAACCAAGGATCTGATCTGCAATTGATTTATTTGGGCATTTGCAGTCCCTATGCTAAAAGTACACGAATGGATGAATGAATCAGTCAGTCAATCAATTTTTCATATTTCTCTGTTTCCAGCAGGTCCAGTTTTTGAAATGCAGAGATACACATAACCCCCATCTAAGCATTAAAAAAATCTTAATTTACTGTAATGTAAACACATTTCTTTTTGTTTTTGTTTTAATGAAATCTTTAGAAAATGTGAGCTGTGTCAGGCCTGAAATTATATTCCTTTTAGAATTTTGGCCTGCCACACTTTCTCTTATTTCATTATGCTGTTTCTTTAGTATAGTTGATGGGAGGGGGAATAGACAGGAGTGAGATTGTGGAATGTATTGTTTTCATTCTTTACTAGAAGCCAAGGTCATCCTTTGTCTCCGCATCAGTACACCTGACAGGAAGAAGCTGGGTGTGGATTTCAGCGTGGAAGAAGAAGATTGGACCATGTGATGGATTGTGGGTGTGGGGGCAAGAGCATGAACTTTTAACTG